ACAAGCCGCTCACAAAATTGGTCGCAGGCAGGACTTGAGCTGTCGATGTATTGCAATGGCATGATTGTGATAGCATCTCCAACGGCCGTATGAACATCTACAGTGAACTGTCGATTTTCACACGATGCTGGATTGGCAACTGGAGGGCAGTGCAGGAGGGGGAGGATTTGGAGAAGGGAGAAGAACCATTTGACAACAGGGACAAGGTCCCTAAATGTCATCCCAACGTCAACCATTGCCCTCTACCTTATAAAACACCTGAATATTTGTTCAAACCCATCTCCTCGAAGCGTTGGTTCACAAGTGAGTGAGCACAGTGAAAGGTGTGAAGCCCACGCAAGGGATGGTACCGGCGGTTGCCGGGGGACCAACCTGGTGACTACATAAACACCGACCGAGAGCACACTCAGTTCCATTCTACATGATGCTGCCGTAGTAGTTGGAGGAGAGGCAGGAAGGAGGTGTGGGGGTAGGAGAAAAGAGGGAAGGAGAGTTTATATCCGTATTGAGGTATACTAACGTGATGTCACTATTGCGTAACACCCAAAAAACGGTATATTTAGTGTGAAGCATCGGAAGCCGTGTTCCTTTGCATGATAGCCGTGGTATTCACCACCCCCTTCATGTATTCTGAGGGTTTTTTCAGTAGCGCGCAATACACACACAAAACGTTGAACTAGGTGCTGGGATGGTCCCTAGGGTTGCACCAACGGTGAAAGGAAACAAAGCCACCATTCTTTGAGGTGGTCTAGAGGTCCATTCGTATAATTGGAGCTTTTACCACCTTCCTACCTCCCTTCTCAATCTCATGAAGCTTACGCTGCACACCGCTTTTTTATATTGTGTAGTCGTACAATCGATGGTATTCTGATTTTTGTGATCAGTATCCGAAAAAGAATGATTATGTTGTTTTTTGTGGTCTGAGATTATTACTTCACGAAGGTATCCTGCCTCACCTCTAGGGGGCAGTCACCCGGCGTAACCGGGCGATCCCTTAAGAAGGAGAGTCGGTCGCCAGCTGGACGATCCGACTGGTCTATTTATAATCAGCTTAGTGGTAGTGTGTCTGTCTGACCAGAAATTCATACTTCGCTCCCACTTGCCCAAGTGTGTTCCAACGTGGAGGGGCAAAGGGTACATGACAGGATGAAAAATAGTTGGTGATAGAAAATTTGAGTATTGATAAGCACTAACAATAGACGTGTTCATGTAAAGGTCACCCATTTCGTTACGCCATTCGCGTTGCCAGTGGAATGCTTGAACTCGTGTGAGATAAAGTGGCGGCCAAAAGTGTTCGCTGAAATGGTTCTCCGCACGCTGTTTTTCTTTTCAAAAAGAAAAGTCTCAAATTAAGATGTAGATTTTTCTTGTGGATCTTGAATGGTTGAAACTTATAAGCAAAATTCAGGATCAGATGATGAGGTAATTCTACTCAAATGTGAAAGTAGGGGCGGGAGGTGAACCACCAGAGGAGAAAAAAAGGCAAAAAATCCTGAAACACAAACGAAATACGAGCCTTTTGCTCTACGCTGGGGAGAAGTTCAGAAGACCAGCTGAGGGATGAGAGATCATGGGAGCGCGGGGAGTGGTAGAGAAGTACGTGTAGAGATAGCTTAGCAGATCAACATTGCAACGCAAACAAGATATCGAGCGGTGGGTGGGGCGTGCCACAACCGGTGGAGCGTACCTAAATCCTTGGCGCCCAGCGTCCAGGGGCCCTTTTTTCGGTGTAGGATGATGGGAGGAGCCCTGCACTAGCCTCTCTTGTCCTTCTAGCCACTTTAAGGGCTCATAGGGTAGGTCTGAGCGCGAGCTTTGCCTTTAAGGATCCATAAACACCAAAAAACATAATCCTATCAACACCTGTTCAGGTGAGAACAAAAATATGCATCGCACTTTTGACCGGTACTATATGTGGGGTAGTAGGGAGACAGAAATGGTGGGTGCTAGAATGTGATAGCAAGTGATATGGATTAATGACGGGAATGAAAGTTCCAATGTCACCAGTTCCATTACGCCGTCGACTTTGGCAGTAGGATTTGTGCACTCACATGTGCTATGTGGGTGTCATGACGTTTCTTCATGATACGACGACAATCTCAAGGTGGATCCTGTGACACGTCATCCTATCGATTAACTAACTCAAAACCTGCGTTCAAGTTGCCGCCTGCCGCATAACCCGGTCCATTCCGACCGGCCATCGGACCGCCCACTGGCCCGGGTATAAATATAACCCATTTCTGGGGGTATAAATACCGCAGCCGGAGACTCCGGGCCAGTCTTCGCGGTCTTCACCGTTCTTCTTAGGTTTTCGACAGCTCTTCTCCAATCGTCACCAGCGGCCTCCGGACAAGCGACCCGCTCGCCACCAAAACTAAGGTGGCAGCGCCAGCAATAAACCAGACAAACTAACAAGCACAAGGCAATCAATAAGGCACAGTTGGTGGATCCACCACCGGCCAAAGCCATCAATCAATACCATTAACCAAGGACCACCAACTCGCACCTCCAGCCACTTTGACCACCACTCTAAAGCACCAATCAATATTCAATAACATAATTCTAATTCAGACGAGAGGCTAACCAGTCATAACGTTCACCAATGCAGAAGATAAATTGTATAAGTTGTAAGTTGTGATGTATGTAATACCAAACCTTGTTTTAAAGTTTTATGACATAATAGTTGTTAATATAAATCGTTATTTATAAGTGTTGTTTAATAAAATAATTTAATGTTAGTCGCATCATGAAGCGATCTACCACTTTACCCTCGAAACATGGTACATCGGCCGGGAATCGAACCCGGGCCGCCCGCGTGACAGACCAGCATTCTATTACTGAACCACCGTCACTCAAATCATATAAAAAGAAAAAAATCTATAAATCCCTATAAAATAACACTTATTCAGATATGGAGGACGAACACGTGACTATTACAAGGGCCGAACACGAGAATTTGACGACGGTCTACGAAGCTGTAAATGCCCTAACTGAAGAACTTGCTGAAAACTCAACTCCTTACTACGTATGGAGAGAAGAATCTCAGCAAGCGACAGCGTCGCTTACGAATCAATCAGTAGAGCATCAGAGCTCATTCAAGGAATAAATAGTCATCGCTTGCGACCTTAAAGTTTCTAATAAATATTCAGAGTGAAAGCGTCATTGGTTTAAAGGGGGTAAAACCATTACGATACATTTTCAATTTTCGCAAATCTGACGATTTAATACATACATTAACCCTAACATAAACTAATAGGAATATGCATTCTAAAGTTATCTAACCAATTTGATATTAAAAATACTAAAACAATTAATTCCAGAAATGGAGACAAGACGCGAGAACACCCAACAACTACTTAATAAGATCCGTCGTCTTCAGCGCATGACACGCCACATCAAACTTACAATTCGCGATATGGACCATCATCTCACCAACCTCGAGCGGACCGTCAGATCTGCGAGACGAATGC